TTATCATGCACCAAAAGACTGAATGCAGCGTTGCTTTCATTCTGCAGCAGTTGCCCATAACATTCATACGAATAAGGTCATCTAAGTTAAGGAATGGAAAACAAAATCATGAAGTCATCTGCTGGGGGAGGGGGGGGGCAGAATTTATCAGGCTTTATGTACAGATTTATTTAATTGTGTGGTGTAAAAAATGCATTTTGAATTATAGAAATTTTGTATTGAGCCCTATACTTAACTGTATGGTGTAAGAAGAATTATGCATGTTTCCATGTTATCAAGTTTCTATACATAACTGTACAGTGTAAGAAACATTGTGTGTATTTTGAATTGTACTAATTTCTTTCATTACACTTCTGTATATATATTTGTGAATAAATTAATACTTAGTTATTTATGTACAAGCATTCCAGCTCATAGTCAGTTGGTTTATTGATTGAGATATCCTGCTTCATCGCTGAGTATGCAAGAAATATTTTTGTAACTAACTACAGATGTTACAAACAAGTTTTAATGAGGATTATGATGTCGAGAATTTCATCTCTCAAACTATATAACAAATTCACCTTTCAGAATACTGTCCAGGGCGTATCTCATGTGACTGACAGTCTCTCAATATTTGTGCGTTAACATTACAACATATGTGCATTTATAAAATGTGAAATTATATATACAGATTTGGCAACATTACTACTTCCTGTAAACTATAAAAAAACACTTGGTATGACTCTATGTTTTATTTGAAGCAGACACAGCTTTTGGTGTATCTTCATAACCTGTTTTAATTTTCTAAAATATGAGGGTTATTCATATTGTCCTGTACAGGGGTGTTGACTATGACAAGGTTTGGACTGATGAATGAATTTATTGATCATTTATACACACAACTTGGAATTTCAAGCAATTTACAACATTATCACTGATCTACACACTTCAGAAAACACTGCAGCATCTGCTAAGCCTTTTCCAGACTAACGTGTTTTCATCAGCTGTTCTCTGGCAACGGCTTCTAACAGTGGAAATTCTTCAGCTTCATGGGCTCAGGATTTATCCTCACAGCCTCCCATACAGAACTCAACCGAACTCATATCTCCAACCGTCCTGGTTATAACTTCTCAGCACAGACCACATAAAAAACACTGTTCTTCTATTGTTGCATTCATATCCGTTGCAGCGGGAATGTGTTTAACAAGCTGTTTCCCAGAAATGGGCTGTGTAACACCATTTATTAAGAATCTGCTCTCCCAGGAAATAGGCATCATTTCATGACCATTACCCAGCAGTGGGTGTACCTGCTATATTGTTCCCTCCTTAAGGCTATTCATCGCAAATAACCTATCAGCATACCACCATTTCTTCTTTTCCTGAGGGCTGTGCATATGATATCTGTGACCAGTCTCATCTTCCTTCCTGCTCCCACTGCTCCTTATCCTAAGCAGTTCCCACATATGGTGCCAGTCAGTCCAGGTTTACCACCATCAGCTTCCTTCGGTTGGTGCGGCCAAAAGTTCTGAGAGTGGTCAATGCTTCTACATTTATGGCTTCTACTCTGTGTGCTGTCTTTCATTTGTTTTGGATGGGGCCAACCCTTCCACAATGTCCAGTCACTCATTTTCCACAGTTTAATGGAAGTCTCAAGTGTTTGCTTTGTGATCTCCAGCACTACTATCTTCCTCAAGATCCTGCCAAATGTCCTCTCCATCCTCAGACATAGTTCCTCCTTTAAGTCTCGGTCTCATATTCCATTGATACATTCTGGTTGCACCCAATATCTCATCCTGAACATCCATCCTTTCGAGGTTCCACTTGCAACATTGTCCCTGCCTGGTTCCTAACAACCATGTTGCTTGTGTGGTGCAGGAATAGCATGGCAAGTCATCCCTCTGTGGATGGTGGCCAACTTCGTCCAGGACCCACCATCGCCCTGCATCCATTTCCACAGCTTTCAGCAGTGCCCTTTGTTTAGATGCTGGTCCCTTCACCACTTCTTCAGTGTTTTCACAAGTTTTACTGTGGCCTCTTCTTTAGGGACCTTTTCATGCACTGCTATGGACTCTTATCTCATCTGATGTTGGCTCCTTACTCTCCAGACAGGCCACCACCTCTTCGAGGAAGGCCTTCATCTGCTTTCAATTAGCAACTGTCTCAGCCTTCATCGTTTCTAGACAGGCTGTCATTTCTCTTCACCAGGCATTCACACTAGCTCCTATCCTATCCTGATGGGCATCCATTTGGACTGTTACTTTTTGAGTGACCTCACTTCTGGCTTGGTGTATATCCATCTGGGAGATAAGAGTACTATGAATGATTTCAAACTTCTCATTAGTGGTTTTTATTTCAGCTTCAATCTTGGCTTCCATCAATTTTTCTTTCATTTCCTTTAGGTTGGCATCCATTTTCTCTTGTTCTGTATTATGCATTTGAGAGAGGCTTAGATACTTGTACTCTTATCAAAGTATAATTAGAATGATCAAGTCAAGGAGGATGAGGTGGGCAGGTCATGTAGCACGAATGGGGGAGATGAGGAATGCGTATAGGATATTGGTGGGAAAGCCCGAAGCAAAGAGACCACAGGGAAGACCAAGGCATAGGTGGGTGGACAATATTAGAATGGATCTTAGAGAGATAGGATGGGATGGTATGCATTGGATAGATCTGGCTCAGGATAGGGACCAGTGGAGGGCTCGTGTGAACATGGTGATGAACCTTCGGGTTCCATAAAGTGCTGGGAAATTCTTGAGTAGCTGCAGAATTGGCGGCTCCTCCAGAAGGGCTCAGCGCCATGAGTAAGTAAGTAAGTAAGTAAGTAAGTAAGTAAGGTTAGTAGCATTGTCAAGCCAGCCATGATTATCTGTCACATAGATCACAAACCAGCAAGGCGCTCAAACCAATGTAGTTTCCAATCCACCGACTTCTGACACAAGATGTCACATAGTATGTGTGTGATTAGAGATGGGGTTTCAATTGGTGAATGGATTTAATGACTACTTATACACACAACTCAGAACTACAAGCAATTACAATGCTATCATTGATCTACACACCTTACAAATCACTACAGTACCCAGCAAGCCTTTCCCAGACTGCTGTGTCTTCACCAGCCATTCCCTGTATGTGGCTTCTAACAGTGGAGATTCTTCAGCTTCACACACTCAGATTCCATCTTCACAGCCTCCCATACTGAACTGAACTGAATTCATCACTTCAGCTGTCCTGGTTATAACTTCTTGTCATGGATTTCATAGAAAACACCGTTCTTATATTGTTGCATTTATGTTTGTTGCCATGGGAACATGTTTACCAAACATGTATTAAGACTCTGCTGTCCCAGGAAACAAGAATCATTTCATAACCGTTACCCAGCAACAGGTCTACATGCTACAATATGAAACCAACTAATGGCACTGCTAATGAGTATGCACTGGCAGTTGGCAGCAAGTTGTGAAAGAGCAAGGATGTGTTAGAACACACAGGAATGGTGTAAGGTAGATAAAGGTTGGCACCCAAAGAGCGGAATCTGTTCAAAGAGAATTGATGAGCTATCATTCAGTTCTGTCCATGAATGGGTTTCAATTGAACAACCCTCATAATTTCAATAAGAAAATTATTTATCGAAGAGTAGAATCTCATATCACTTGAATACTGTTGCTATTATAAAACAATTTACACACGTCGCAGGCAAAGTCTGAATTCTAAATATTCTACATATTAACTAACCATTACACGTGCCTGCCCATTTTAGGTAAAATATAAAATATAATGATTTTATTAATATATACATTACTTAGAAATTTAGTAAAATTCCTAGGCACTCTACAGAATACCAAACTTGATCCTGGCAATTTGTTATCTTCCTTCACCAAAACTGATGTCTTCCATTAAGCACTACAGTGGGGCCATAAATTGATTAAATAGTTAAAGTTCAGGAAAACATAGTTTTTATTGATGATATAAAGCACAAATACTGTATGTCTCTTTTGATTTTAACCGTTTCTGTTTCTTCATATGTCATGTGAAAGGCTTTAATCAGGATTGTTGGTAACTGTACCAACTACTGTGATCTGTGCCTCGTGTAAGTGCTTAGTATTTCAACCATGTAATACTAAAAATAAGTCTTCAGTTTTGGTGTATAGAAAGTGGGTCCGCTAAATGTTGAAGCTTCTACTTTACCTGACAGACCTCCTGCTGTGAAATGGTGTACATCTTACATTTATGAGCTTAATAGTCTTCAGTTCATTGTATCTCAAGTTTTGCACAACAACATGGTGAAGTGTCCACATAATATCAGAGAAATGAGACTGAAGAATTGGTTTTTTATTTTGATTCTGAAGAACAGTTTACCTTAGATGATTCTGATTGGGAATATACACTGGTTTATCAGAATACAGTGATGACAATGTTCAAGCAAATCAAGTGTGGCATAACAGAAAAACAGTTGCATCTGTTCACTGCTACCAAATCAATTTTGAATTTCATTGTTGCACCTCACACTGCTGAAGACTTTTCATCATTTTACTGTTTCTGACCAGTCCTCAAAGGTAAAGGTAAAAAGTTAATGTTGTCCTCTACACTTAACTAATTAAGCACTATGCTATGAAGGCATGGGGGAGTGAATGTATAGATCCACAATTTCTCGATCTTGGCACTAGCTGGAGTGGTCAGGTTCATGCCCCTGCTACTTTACTCCTAGGGAAAAAGGCCCCAATATCCAATGGATAGGAGGCTGGGTGGGCCTCAGAGCTGGTCTGGACACGTGGAGAAGAGAAACATCTTGACCCCACTGGGACTTTATTTCTGACCCCTCATCATCCAGCCCATAGCCAGTTGCTACACTTTTTCAGATGGTAAGTATACCATTTATAATGCAATAATAATCTCATATAAAAGACATTAAAATATATTTAATACACTAAAAGTGTTTGTTAAATACTTTAAAATGTCATTAAAGTTATACATTCATTCCTTGTTGCAACATGTTTCAGCTACATGTGGACCATAATCAGGCAACTTTTTTTCTTGGGTGTGGGGGGAGACCACCACACTGTACACTTTGTCTTCTGTGCCGTTAGGCACATCGTTATTTTTGTTATTAGTTTCCTAAGAATACTTCCATTTTAACATGCACAACAAATGAACGACATAAAAGAACTGAAAAAGCCATTAGAAAAGATAAAATAGGCAGTCATATGACATGTCATGTTATCTAGGAAAGCAACATGTGAATGCTGTTGCAGCTGACAATAAAAATTGAGGAAGTTGGACATAAGTCTTAATGGATAATTATTTTTCTGATGTAAGACTGCTTATCACATTAGGAAGGGTATGCCAATACACTTTGTGCAAGAGAACTTGAAATTGAAGACAGATGATATCACTTGTAATGTAAAAGAAGGCACCAGTGCTCTTTGAAAGACAAACGGGAAATACATCTTGTCACTAACATACATCACCTCTCTGTATCCAGTCATTATGTTACAGAGAAAAGGAACGCATTAAAACTTCTGTGCTTAGAATCCAACAATAAGAACACAGGTTTTGTGGATATGAATGTTATGATGGTACTCCCTTGTAGATTCTCCCAGAAAACATGGAAATTGAGCAACAAACTGTTCTTCTGCTTAATAAGCCTAAGTACCGTGAATGTCTTCAATTTCATTGATCATGTGGGGATACACTCAGATAAATATAATATAAGGTGTCAAGAACATTCCATAAGAAGTCTCATTCATGCAGTATAAGATATAAATCCAGAATCAACATCAAATCATTGTTGATCAACATCACAAGTAGTTCGTATCTTACAGTTTGACTTTGGAGAGTAAAACCAGTGGCCTATCAAAAGTCGCCCTTGAAGATGTCTGCATCTGTGTTTATCCATATTTCAAACAGTACCACACAAAGCTGGCTTACTTAGTATTTCTTATGAAAGGTAAAGTAGTTTTGCTTCGGAGCCTTATGGTATATAGGGAGGAAGTTGCCAAATTGAAGGTTATTAACTGAGTAATTCTGTATAAAAAAAAAAAAGCCATATGAAAATGTATCCTGTTTGCAACAAGTAAGGAGTTACAGTTTATTAAAGATCATTAAGGACAGTGCACATAATGAAATACACAAAATTAAGTTGTTTCAAGATGGCCTCTGTCTTTGAACTGTGCGCCTTTGACGATGTATTGAAGTCGAATGTGCATAGTTTGAATATATCCATGATCTTCAGATATTTTAATTCTGTCTGTTTTAATTATATCCATAATAATCTTTAACAAACTATATCTCCTTATGTATTATGTATTCATTTAATTTTTTTTATCCAGAATGATCTGATTAATAACCTCCTTCAATTTGGTCACTTCCTCCTAGGACACTGTATGTAGTAATGCTTTTAGCATGGAGGTTAGTGTGATGAACAGTGATTCAAGCAGATGTGTTGATGAAGGTGACAGTTTATGTTACATAGTATACATGAATCCAGTGATTAAGGCAGCTAAAACAACAAACTTATTCAAAGTATGACTGTGTCAGGCTTCAAGGGTAGAAAAATATTACTGCAATGTCACTTTGATATCTATAGAGGTAAGACATTTTCTCTTACATAACTCAGTCATCTGTATTAAATATTTCATATTTTCCAAACTTTATATTTACCTTAAATGTTAGAAATTGTAAAACATATAACAAATTAATGAATTCATACAAATAAGTACTGTATTCATAAATTTTCAAAATGATTTTTGTTGCATTGCAATATGTAAAACATCACTAAACCACTAACCAAACGAGGTGCAGATACAAAGGACTAGAGAATTAATATGCACCCATTTCACACTTTAAATTCTCTGTACTGCTACTGTGAATTTATGTGTAACTGCTGTATCATTGAAGGGTTATGCACAATAACCATAAGTCCAGGCATAACCTTGGTGATGGAGAAAGGCCTGAAAATATAGTCAAACCAGAACACTGAGTTTGTGCATCTTTAATTTAAGTACACCAGTGACCTGTATATTGGACAATGGACACACAATATTTGTTCTTTAAACCACTGACATGCTGAATGATGAATGGAGGAGGTGGGGGCTACTGAAATATAAGTATGTTGTTATTATTATTATAAACATTAATTATCAATGATGTAATGAAAGATCTTATTAAGTTGGTGACTATTTGGAGAGGAAATGACTTCACTCATTGCAACATGACCAACTCAAATAACATTTAAGACTGATGCCAAAACCATGAGTAATTATTAGCAAAGCTTACCAGCAAAATAATACACATGCCTTAGTTTTTTGTAACATTGCTTGTTGCAACATGGCACACTGGCCTGGCATTTACAGTGATATAAAAACTTGTTTCCAACAAACATTTCTTATTCTGATGCCCTGTTTTGCATGATCATTTTAACAATGCTTGCCCAGTTCCAACTGACTGCTGAGTAGCAACAGACCTAAGTGATATTGCTTTTTCAGTTATAACACCTTGCCAGAATCATGTTTGGTATTACACAGCATTCCTAGAAACGTTAAACTTTCCAAACAGTGCATGATGTTCTGAGGTATTCTTTGCAGTGCTGGATTCTATACTTTGCCTATGACAAGTATCTGCTTCTTTCTTTCTTGCTAGATAGTACATTATGTGTCTTGTCTTGCTTTCTATATAGCATATCTTTATAACTTGTTCAGACTACATATTCTTCTGAAGAGAGTGTTTCCATGTAGTAGTACTTTCACATAAGATTTCTTCTGTGAGACCCAATTAGGAGAGTGCCCATTGCATCACACTTGTATCGCGACCTCCTGTAGAGATGAGTCGTGAGTCATCATGTAGGAATGAGACATTAGTTACGTGACTGCTGTGGCCTCCATATGTGTGGCACAGTGACTGCAACACCACAAGAAAAATGTCCAATAGAAAGACAGAACTGGAGCATTAACCCAATTACCTTCATCAGTGTATGAAAAAGAACTGAATTTTGCTCTTTCTTACAAAAGCTCAACAAAAATTTTGGAAACCCCAAAGCTGAATGTAATCGATCCAAAAACCTCACCACTGCAGCTCCTGGATTCAAATTTAGGGCACCTGGAGGAAAACAAAAAAGGAAGGGAAATTATATATATTTCTTTTTTGTGTTGGGCATGGGGCTAACATATCCTCACTGTAAAAAATAAGCTTGTTACGAAATGTCACAAAGGGCCTTGGACCTCGATGGATTCATTGGATAAATGAGCTAAACCAAGGAAAATGGACATGAGATTTGGTACATGCAATGTAAGAAGACTGTATAGGGCAGGTTTGTTCATGACAGTTGTGCAAGAACTACAAAAATATAAGTTAGATTTAGTGGGAGTATAGGAGGTCAAATGGGACAGAGGTAGCACCAAACCAGCAGGTGAATTTTCTATGGAAAGGGGAATGAGAATCATGAATTAAGTACAGGTTTTTTTTTTGTACAAAAGAGAATCATCTCAGTAGTTAAAAGGCTGGAGTCTGTTAGTGATAGGATGTTATACATAATACTGAGAGGTCGCTGGTGTGATATCATTGTTCTGAATGTTCATGGCCCAAGAGAGGATAAAATTGATGATACTGTGACATGGATGGCGCAGCAGGTAGTAGGAGTCACGTGAACTCTGTGTTCTCATGAGTGACGTCACATACCCCCACTCCTTCCATCATTACACAACGCTTGGTAAACACTTCCTCCCCCACAGTGATGTAACAGAAGAGTAACTCTGTCAGGCAACCATTGCCGTGGTGATGTAACAGCATAGGAACTGCTGCCGCTGCTATGGTACCAGGCCAGTAAACACTCTGCCCCCCCCCCACGGTGATGTAACAGCGCTTCCCACTGTGACATAACAGGGGACACCGCTGTTAACACAGGGCAACAGGGAACGGTATAAAAGGCCGGCTGAGCAGTGTGTGAGCCAGATTGTGTGATTAGGAATGACACAGTGTGGATCGTGAAGTTGCCGAGAGCAGTGGAAATCCAGCAGTCGCCAAGTCGGGTCGTATCGAGTGCATGGCAGGGACTCCAGCAGGATAAGTACTTGTGATACTGCCGATGGCAGTAGCTGTGAGATTGTAAATTGTGTAACTGTAAGAACGAATATGGAATAAATTTGCTAGATCCAAAACAGCATGAAGTTATTTTCGTGTTACATACCCAATACGTGACAGTATGAAGGATATCTTCTACTAGGAATTAGACTGTGTATTTCATAAATTCCCTAAATACCATATGAGCACTTTGTTATGAGATTTCAATGCCAAATTAGGTAGGGAAGACATTTTCAGACCAACAATTGGGAATGAGTTTACACGAAATTAGTAATGATAATGAAGTCAGAGTAGTAATCTTTGCCACATTCAAAAGTCTGACTGTAGAAAGTACAATGTTCCCACATTGTAACATTCATAAATTTACTTGGACATTTCCTGATGGAAAGACTCACAATCAAGTTGCCCATACTTTGATAGATGGGAGATGGCAGTCAAGTTTACTTGATGTCTGATTATTCAGGGAAGCAGCTCATGATACTGACCACTATCTGATGGTGGCAAAAGTTAGGGAGAGACTGGCAATGAGTAAACAAACAATGCAGATTTCATATTGAGAGGTTCAATCTTGAGAAATAAAAGAGGTAAAGAGCAGTATTGTGTTGAAATCTCTAATATGTATGCAGCTTTGGAAAATTTATATGCTGAGGTGGAAATTAATAAAGCTTGGGAAACTATTCAAGAGAATATCAAAATTTCACCCAAAGAGAGAATTTTAACTGTTTGGGGTAAGTCACAGCATACAGAAATAAGTACTGGACCACCACCTGACGAATATCTGTGAGTTCGAGTGCCCCAAATCCAAAGGAGTGTGACTATGACTTTTTCTTTCCTGACAGAGTTACAGGAGGACTGCTATACTTATACAGATGCTTTTGTCAATTGCAGTTTGCAGTACTGTTTCCTTCTGGAAGAAGCCTGTTTTCCTCTTGAAAAAGACAGATATCTAAGTGACTTTCTTCAAGAGTTTTCTAAGTCACTCCAAGACTATGTCCTTCCAAATCATCATTAACAATCATCCTCCTATTCAACAATCTATAACTTATCCAGCTGAGATAGTGACATTAAGAAACAGCCGTCATCCATTACACTTTGCTCCTACTTACCCTGGGTTGAATTACAGGGTATGAATATAGCTTAACTTTCCCAAAATCATCTGCAGTTGCCATTAGTTCTCCATTATGCGAACGGTCGCAGTGATTCACATCTGTACCATCAGCACCTTCCGGCCAGATACCAAGAGAACTGAAAGTCAGTGTACATGAGTTACTGGCCCATTCCACGTCACGCAGCTGTGATGACTGAGGTACTTGGCGACACAAACCAGCATTCCCTGTGGGTGAAAAGAGCATGAAGCAATGTGTTCATAACTAAAGATAGAAAAATCTTATAATTATACAATGATATTTTCCATAATTACTCTGTAAGTCACACACACCACACTCTGGGGGGAGAAACACTTAATTATGGGCAATGAAAGGTGGCAGTTCTAACTCTTAATTATCTTTATAATCCTAAAAGAAAAAAATATGATATATGTAATAGTGAACTTCTGCTTAACATTCTAAAGGAAAGAATTTGGTGTTTCTATTTATAAACATGAGCTCATCCTAACTATTATTGAGGATGTTAAATTAACTTACAGTAGAGTAGCTCATAATCCCCAGAATTGCTTTGAATGTATTGACTATCTGTAGACCAATCAAGATGTGTGACAAAGCTTGAGTGACCCTGCAAATAATAAAAGTGACACTTAGGTGTAATCGAAGTTTACTGATTAATATAGCCCTGCTACTTGAGATATAGGCAACTGTTCATATGATTATCATTCTGCTGAAGTCACTCTCTCAGTTTCGTGCACTGGAAATGCAAGTAACAAAGTGAATGTAGCATATAACAAGCTCTCAAGAACTCTTTTTCTCCCTGTAGTGCAGCTCATTCAAAATCATGCAATGCCGGGGAAGCATAGAGAATTATGAGTCCATTAGTGAGATAGATCAGCAAGCCCACTTGATGAAATATTTCATGTAAGATATTCAGGTGAATTTAATTTCTACAATATTAATTAATTCAGTAACTGTGGTACAGCTATTGCATCATTCTTTTCATGCATTTGTGTAACTTATGAGCAATAAAACAAATGTAGATGCAGTTATTTCACTTAACAAATTTTTCTCCAAATTGATGAATTTCAGAATCAGAGTTATCTGCACAATATCAGTAATGGCAAAATGATATATTTGATCTTGTTCACTATTATCTCCTTAATTTATTTTTCATCAACCCTGTCAGTTCATTTTGAATTTCACAGATATCATTTTCATTTACATGATCGATATAAAGTACAGATGCCAAAAACTATGTAGTACTTAATCAGTCTTTTCAATAAATCTTGCTTTTTGGCTTCCTAAATGTGAAGCTGATATTCATAACTGCTAGTTATTGCTTCTACTCCAGCCACTTTAACATGCACTCTATGAAATCTTGACTATTTTCATGTCTTTCTATATTTCCAATCACATCACCACTTAACACAACAGATATTTGTACTGTTGAAAGTATTCAATTTGAAAAACAGTAAATGAAGTTCTTGCACTGTGAGTGCACTAACCAACCCTGGTCCTGGTTCTCTATAGTTTTAAAATTTTGTTGCAGTAAAAATTACTTAATGTCTATTCTTATCATTCTACAGGTATTCATCACTCATGTGAGGGTATATATTGGCCCTTGCATACTATACTACATCACTGTGAATCACTCAGCAGTATAACTCAATTGTCTGAATTACAGCTGGCAGAAATTTTTCAGATTCACTTTCTTTGCAGCATCATATTTGATACAGCATCTAGTTTTGGTTTTCCTCAATCACCACTGAACTAACATCGTTTCTTTTAGTTTGAAATGATTTGCTTATGACTACACCATAAGAAGATTAATCACACAGAATTACGGGATTTTTGGACTTTTTCCATCTTCTGGAATTCTATGTAATAGAGGATATGACGTTTTGGAAACTGGATCTGGATTCCAGTGATTGAGATTAGCTCTTTCTAAGGGGTCAAACTGAGTAGGTGTCTTCCTTTCTCACCTGAAGACGGAAACATCCAGTTTCCGGAACGTTGTGTCCTCTGTTACCTAGAATTTCGGACGATGGAAAAAGTCCAAAAACCCATTAATTCTGTATGTCATCCACCATCGTTAGAACCCTTTAGAACTAACCAAGAAGATTAATGCTTAATCTTCACCTGCTGCCCAGTTCTATTATTACTAAAATCTCTTAAACCAAAGTTTGAATTCTCATTTCTTTCCAATTCTTAAAAAGTGCTCTACTTAATTCTTTATTATTTTCCTCCAATCCACCTTTTCTTTCTTTAGGCACTAGACATGAATTTTCTTCATATCAGAATTCCTTCTAAAACCTGACATATGATGTACACTTAACAAATACAGATTATTTTACAATATGAAAAACCACTGCGTCTTCTGCATAGACCAAAAAAATAACACACTGTCCCTAAGAAACAGTGGGATTTAACATTTAGCTGACCTGATTTAATTAAACAATGGCTTAAACCAGTGTAGCAATTAGTAATGTTTCTTCCCTCTAAACCTTAGTGCCTAACTATTATCAGCAGTAGCTTCCACCCTTACTTCTTATGAGCCTTCACCACTGTCATTTGTTTATGATAAAACACATAGTATTTAACTTGTTCTAAATATTGGTTATAAACAAACTCAGTCCATTTAACAGTCATTAGAATGTAAACCTTCTAAAAAATATTCTGCACATAAATTCATAAACACTGACATACTGAAATGAAACTGTGAACAATTCAGAATTGAACATTTTCTGCTGTGAGTCTGGTATAGCTGTGAGGCCCTGTGCAGTCAGCTACTCCCCCCTTCACTGCCCTTGCATGTAAGGCAGAATGCACATGTGTGATGATGTTATTAACTGCATAATTATTTGTCCTGTAGAAGATCTCTGTTCTGAACTCCATAGTCTCACTGTCACTTATTTTCTGTTTCTCATATAATGCCATGTAGTCCACTGAAAGTGAACGAAAGTTTCGGAGGAATATATTGCCTCCATCTTCAGAGCTGAAGAATAAGTCAAGCAGGAAACCAGCATGAAAGCAGCTTGCCATTTGCTTTCATGCTGGTTTCTTGCTCAGCTTGTTCTTCAGCCCTCGATATTGAGGCGATATATTCCTGTGAAACATTGATTCACTTTCAGTGGACTACATGGCATTATGTCCCACAAGACAGTCCTGTTCATAACCACTGCTGTGAGAACCTCAAGTCATATAAAAGCAAGCAAGCTACCAGAATACATGGCCTCACATCTCACAAAATAGTACAATTCAGTAACAGCTATGAGAGCCTCAGATTTCATGCCAGTAACTTTTCTTTGTAATATGCTTCTAAACCCACAAGTGATACACTCCGTGTATATTAGATCACTGGAGGATTCTGCAGTCCATTAAGAGAAAGTTCTAAAATATTTTGTTTATTGATTCTAATTTTAATCTTCTTTAGTTGAACAAACACATTAGCAGAGTCTGTAATTCAGTAATGCTGTATTTGTGTTACATAGTTGTAACATGCACCTCCCTTCACAATTATATTTACATGTACGAGACATGTATAATTTACACACATGCAATGTGGAACTTCAAGCAGAAGGGACCATTCTCTTTGCTGTCACATCCATACCAGCTTTGGGGCCCACCCCAATCTCCTGTCTAAAGGGTTCCAGGACTCTTTCCTTAAGTGAGAGGGATAAAATGGGTAAAGCATGATGGTCATCATTCACCTGCATGTAGTTTCAAAGTTACATCTTCATCACTCAGTGCTTAAGCACAGGAACAACTGTGCCCCTTTCACCACCCTTTGTTCATTGTCTGGCGTTCTAAAGAGCACATCATTTTGCAGACTGGATATGTTTCCATCCTCAGGTGAGAGAGCAGGAGACACTTACTCTGTTGTGTCTGCTTGTTGCATTTTCTTTTCACTTTCTTTTCTGTCTTAGTTTCAGCTCTGTACATGCATTATCACAATTTTTATTGCACACTTTCCTGTTACCTCCTGTCGATACACCTTGATCTCAGGTATATATATATATATATATATATAGCTGTAGTTATAGTGACATACATGCAGGTTGTCCAGGTTAGCTCTTTCTAAGGGACTCAAATAGTAGGTGTCTCCCCCCCCCCAACTGAGGACATAAATAGATCCAGTTTCTAAAATGCTGTGTTCCTTAGAATATCAGACAATGGGCAAAGTACAAAAACCCAGTAATCCCAACCTCAGTTATGTGCAGATATACCAAGTTTTATTGGCACAAAGAAGATATCTACAAATCAATATTCAGTTATTAAACCATATAGCAACTACATATAATTTAGAAATATATCCAGAAGAGAACAAAAATAATGACCTTCAAAGGGAAATATTCATTGCAATCAAAGGCAATGGTAAACAATAATATTACTGAACAAGCAGCATACTGTGGGTGTCATACTACTGTGACAAGAATTTAACAATGAAGTGCATAAATTTCAATATAGGTCTGTTACAACAAATACAAGATTAAGAAATAAAATTTGGCCAGAACCACATTATAAATTTTATAAAATTATGCCAGTCCTGGTGTTAACATATGGATGTAAAAACTGGGTACTCAACAGAAGTAACTACTGAAACTACAGAAATTAAATTCCTAAGATGGGTGGCTGCCTCTAGCACAATGTACATACTCGTAGCAATGTTGGATCTCAGATTATCACAGTGATGATTGTGAGGAGTACTAGCCTCTGGGATGTAATGCCTTGTAGTCTGCTAAAGTCCAGTGACATTGCACAGTAATGCACTGCCTGCACATTCAGGTTTGAGGAGTAAATCATGTGTGGGAACATCCCACATTATCACGCATTTCTGCAACGCTCGCTCTTCGCATCGCTTTTCACCATCACGCGCGCTAACCAATCAGATTGCTTCAAACGATCGCATTTATACTACGCTCGGCGCTAGCCCGCGTCTACACAATTACGCGCGCTAGCCAATCAATTCTTGCTCCTCACTTTCGAGTTTGGCTCCGCCCCACCGACCAGCGTATAAAAAGGAGCGACTCCAGAATTCAATGCAGTTCGATTCAGTTCACTTCAGCAAGCAACTTCAGCCAGCAGGCTTCGTCGCCAGCGCTCGGTCTTCGGAGACATAGGCAGGCTGCGCCGGGCACGACTGCCTCGGCCCTCCAGCGCTCTCACACCCGACTCACTGGGGCACAGCGCCTGGACTCGCCGGTGGTCGTGTTACGGTTCGACTCACTGGCCATCTGGCGTAGCCACTGCCTCATGGCTTCTACAACCGCGCTCGACTAGCCTTTCACCACCAGCAGCAACCTCCGCCATTTGCCGCGCAGCGATCAAGCAACCTCCAACTCACGCTGCCGCACGGCAACCAAGCAACCTCCAGCCACGGCCGCACTGCGGCCAGGCCACTCGCCATTCACTAGCCTTTCTCCTTACCGGCGCGCGCCGCGCTACCTCTCCAGTCAATCATCTCATCAGCCACGGTCCTTTTCAGGGCCAAGAAACTGTACCGAAGAAGTGGGTTGTCATCGGAGTAATGACAAGACTACTCACGTTAAAGAGTGCCCCACACATGCAAAAATCAGCTGTGCTTTTTGCTTATTTTTGCTGGTTTTTTGTTTCGCTTACTCTTCAACTCTGAAGATGAAGGCAATATATTCCTCCAAAATGCTGGTGGACTCCTTCCACACTTCACAGCATTACATTCCAGACAACAATACTCTTCATGTATACAGCAGTACAATTTATAAAGGTCCGAAAATTTTTAACTTGGAAGAATACAAAAATAAGAGGCATAAACATCTACTAGAATTAGAACTAAACAGGAGAACCTGAAGAATTTTACAATAGAAACCCACCAGGAACAATGATATGGGTCATTTCATAGAATATGGAAAATTTTCTTCACAGCTGGAATTAGCCAATGACCTACCTTGTAAATGGTAATTACAAACTACAGAATAAGTATAATATTGATAGAGAATAAATTCTAGCATACAAATGCATAACAAGCAAGCTATTACACACTCCTTAGTATTCAGACTAGCATTTGTATAACTATTAGAAAATATATGTTGCATATTTTCATTCCAAAATATAACAAGTTTTTATTTTTATAAGTGCATGAAATCATATACAAATGTTCCCAACATTAAACGACCTAATTTGGTTTCCTTCTCTTTTTTTCACACGTGAGCAAATGCATGAAGAGATGGTGTTATAGCATAGTGCAACACACACTAGAAGATGACTACACAATGCTAAGAGAACTACTCAAGGCTCTGGCAGACTGACAGGCATGGCAGTAGGCCCTGCCACCTACCAGCAGTGAGATATATGTAGCACTTCTCCTGTGTCGTCTCTCTGGCTGTTGTGATGGGCCAGCGTGAAACAGTAACACAGTCATCACTGGACAGCAACCAATCAAATTTAAAAGATCATCTATTTGTCTTGTCAGAGACTGACCTTAATATGAAAATATATTTACTGTTCTACTACATTCTGGAAGGAGTTTAAAACCATTCTGTTGGAGGGATGATGTGTTTGCATGTCTGCAGCTCTACTTCAAGTGAGCTCTGTGAATCAAAACATACTTAACGAACAATAATTTAACAAGTGTTCCAAATGGCTGTGAAAAGTGGCTTCTTATTCTGAGAGGGAGTGGGACAAAGTCTTTGAAAACAGTAAAAATATCTTGAAACAAGAAAACTGAAGCAAGTGGTCAATTTCAAATATAGCATATTGAGGGAAGTAGTAGTGGTATTTACAATTATTCTATTTTCTTTCTTTTATTATACATTTCCTCAATACTGCATTCACATCGCCACCATCAAGGAGTGGGCTCAACCATATTATAACTTCATAGTTATCTCTATATCTCTTTAGTTTTTATGGAGCAAAAATTCTGGAAGTCTGATACTGTCTAATTGTTCATATTAGTTAACCATTCTTCTCTATAACCATATACCCTTCCATTTAGAGAAGAGACATTCAATTTTAGTTCCATCTTTTTAACTTAATTTAAGATCATGTTTAATTTGGTACATTCACAGACACATCTCAGAGATTTAAATTCTGCTAGCCGCTTGAATTTTACGAACATTTTTTTCTTACTAACCCCAGTTTCTTTCCTTATACATGTGTAAAACTTCACACCCCTTTCAACTTTGTCTTTTTCTCTACTTTAACTTTTCCATGTTCTTTTCATCATCCCTCATATTCCTTGATACTAATATATTTTATCCTTCCTTCATAGACAAAAGTCACACACTAAAACTGTGTTGTGAAACTTGTTCTGTAATTCAGTTTACCTCCCTCACAAAGAGCAGGTGATGATGAAGTGATTTCATAGTCACAAACAGCCAACTGATGATATGAGTATCACAAGAACAATATGAGAGAGGAAAATCATGGGATATTGTATTAAAAGTACAGCAGCATCAGGTTTTAGTACAACAAATAGGGAAAAGAAGCAAATATACACATATATTGGCACTCAAAAATATCTGAAGGCTACCTGCCATGATACTATAGGAGAAAAGAAAGAGACAGAAAAAGTAAAGGTATTTTATAGCAGTTGCACTAGAAGTTCCCAGACAAATGACAGATGGCTTTAGCAATCACACACATAACAACACATTATATATATATATACACACACACATACATATACAGATACATAAAAAATCGCCTTTGTGATAATTCATTATGGTGAAAGGGATTACCTTCCATTACATGAAATGAAAGAGATAAGCTTAGGCTGTATGGAAAATGGCTGGGATGACTAAAGCTGGAGTCTTCAAAAGTGTATACTTTTAACATTTAAGAATCACCATACCAAGTATATAATAGGCTGTTAGTAGATTCTTTCAATTGAATCATTTGGACATTATTATCCTTAGCACCAAAGCATTCCATTTATTAAGATATCAAAAGCCCCAGCAGTTAAATTTGATCAGATTAAACTTTCTGTGATTTGAAGCCATTTAGTTTGTTAGATGGGCACCAGTGTTTTGGAGGAACCTGCTCTCCCCATCTTCAGGACAGACTCTTCTATGCTGAGGATGAAGAAGTGGGTCCCTCGAAATGCTGGTACCCAGTGCTTTTTCTGGATGGTACACAAACCAGCAAACTTGTCAAAAGTAGCACATCGGTCAGGGCAATGTTGTGTTTTGACCTTGATGTTAGAACAGAGCATAAGAGTGAGATCCTCATGTCTTGTGAGTTACATATAGTGTTGAGCAAGAACAATTTGTTTCTCTAATAGTATGTAACTGTGGCTGTTCCATCACATGTCATTTTTGGATGTTGTTCAGTGTTTAAAATTATTTAAAATACATGAAGTTTTAAGAATTGGTTCTATTACCATCTTCTTGTAAGAGGTTGATATTATATTAACATATTTTTTTTTATTTCTGAAATTGATGGCACAATACAACCCAGAGTTCTTCAAATATTAAATTTGCATGCTAATTATAGGACCATCAAGGAAACCAGCCTGCTTGTAATTTAGCAAATCTTATGAATTACTGAACACTATACATTTTTTTTTTTAATTTTACCCATGTGGCATTCTTCATAAGTTATGATTAATAGAACTCCATTTTGAAAAATTCATTGGCTTATATTTTGTATTAAATTTAGATCTTCATCTATCAAGAGTAGTTAAAATAAATTATACTTGCCATGCAGCGTCCCACACGACTATACTTCCGTGCCTCTTCGCTTACTTGATACACATAGATATTATTGTCACGAGATCCTAAGGCAAGTAAAGCGCCATCTGGTGAGAACTTCACAACCTAGGAATAAATACAAATATCAGATATTCATGTAGATGAAAAATCTGCAAGACCTATGATATTAGATATTAATAAAATGAACACACACTCATCTTGCTTTAAATTACTAGTCTTAACACCTAGCAGTAGCACACAGAAAATCAAAGTATGAAGACTGTTCAGCGTAATGAGGTGGTAAAGAATTTTAAGCATTTTCAACAGGAAATCAATAAAAGGGAGGAGGAGCAAGATATTTACAACCATGAAGTATGGATTTTAGAGGACTTTTTAGGAAGAATAATATTTTTATTTTGAGTTGTAATTGTATGGGAGTGAAGTTTAGTCAGACACTTAGAAAACAGGGGAGGAATTTTTGAGGGACATGAAGAAGGTAATTAAAGAGTTGGGAGAAGGGGGGGCAATGTCCAACTGTAGTTGAGAGTGCAACTTTCTGATGAAATGTCAAGCACCATAAATTACCCGAAACACACCCTGATCAAAAATTAGAACTGAACAGAATTATTCTGGTTCATTCAGATAATGAAAGGAAATTATTTCCTATTTAGTGGGTGTGAAAAAGACTGGGCAAAGAGGCCTTTCAAGAAGAGATCAGTTAATTATGGATGAACACATAATTTTGACTACTTCAGGCAGAATGATCAAACTGAAGCAGTGAGAAAAAAATGGACAGCATTTGAAGTCAGCCTGACATGAGATATGAATCAGCAAAAAACAGGATGAGTGGAAGTTCAGACTGCCTAGAGTGCAGAAAGGTGAATTGATTATATGGGGGGATACAATTTTGAAAGAGTGTTGGCAAATATGCTGAGCAGGGGTCAGAAGTTATGCCACAGGATGACTTTTATCACATGGAAGAACAGCAATGGCTGAATTAACAAAAATGATATCCCTGAGTAAAACTGTTTCACCAGCATGCAGTTTAGTTCAAGTTTCAGTTAGACTGCACAACTTATGATGATGATCTGTAATAGGTTAGGATTCTGAAGGAAATACAAAGGGAGGCATCTGGCAGAATGGAATGCAAGAATAAATATAAGCATAAACTGGAGAAGAAAAACGTTTGCTGGATAAATAAAAGGCATGCTCTGAAAAATGTATTAATGCAATATAATGTGTGATGAAGAGAAGGTGTTGGTTGTAAAAAAAGCTGTTATTACACAGAAATTCAGAACTAACAAATAATGTTGCTAGTACCTGTATGGGTTCTGCTCCATCAGTATGCGTTGAATATACTTCTCGGGTTTCTGCGTCCATGACAAACCAGTGCCCCGTGGTACATCCAATGATTAATACACTGCCATCCAAAGAAAATGTTGCTGACTGCACAGGCTCCTGCACATGTGAAACATAACATATAATAAGATTAATCTTAATGAAATCCCCTGCTAAACTTCATTCATGTATTGAAAATATCACATGATTATCCACTGAGTTGTTCTGGTGATGAAATGTGTGCATGGACAGACAAAATGTTTCTGTAAAGTGTTTACCTTACATACTTCATACTTCATGCCATAAAAGAAAAAAGCACAAGAAGTCTAATACTTATTCACTTCATATTATTGAATTTCTATTAATGAAGTAAACAGCACTTCACAGATTGTGTTTTTGATTTTCTATTTCAATGGTTTTCAAAATTTACAAAATGCACATTTCACTTGAGAAACTTAAAAGCAGTACAAATAGATAATGAAGCAGAGGCACAAAGAAATCACTGTCAAAGAAATTATGGGCCCACTGACACATATATGAAATCCAGAATAAAGATGGGTCCTCTATTGATTGCCATTATCAGAATTCAGAACAGTCTAACACAAGCACTCTTTGCAATGACTGATCCTCCAAGGAAAACAAAAGAACACAAATTAGATACCAGGTGTCTGATCTTTCTCTGTTGTTTTTGCAAGTCCTTATTCTTTCGTTTCGTCCATTCCACTCATCCAGTAACCTTACATAGTTTTTCCACTTTTATAACTTATTTGCATACTTACATGAATCTGTGAATTGGGAAGTTCTTGTTGCATAGAAAGAATATTAAAAAAGAAAGTGAGGAGCAGAAAACTTAAAGAGAAAGTTTGCTCTGCTAACATACCGCAACATCCTTGCTCCACACCACTGAGTGGCTCATTGAATCCCACAGTGTGACCAATTGATCATGACCCCCTGTGAGGAACTGTGGCAAACTGGGGTGAATGGCTAGACCCCACAGCTCATCTGTGTGGCCACAAACAACTGGAGTGAGGCCCAAATCCAAGCTGCCTATCAATATGCAGTTCCTGGTTGTCCCAACCAGCAGCTGTGAACCACGACCCTCCGCAATGACACGTACAGGGCCTGTTGAAATTACATTTTATATGTATAAACTATATTTAAAGGAATTGGAAAGAAATTTTATTCAGTATTTGAACAAATTAACTGTGAATGCATTACATTTATAACATAAACATGTTGTATGTTTTATGTCAGTTCAGTTCACATTTGTCTGCTTGTAAGATTTATCGGCTTACTTTCCTTTCCTATGGGTGGGCAGTGTGGAGAACATGTTTATAAAATCAACATGCCATCTGTACATGCATGTTCCCTATCAAGTTCTGAAGCAACTGAGTAATATATGTGATAATATCTTGTATGGGTATCATATCCATGGAGGCCAAAACCCTCATAATTTTTATTTCCTATCATCAGTAATAACAAAATGGCGGATGTGCAGACTTGAGAGGTAAAAGTGTCAGTAGTATCACTTCATGTAAAAGATAAAAAAAAATGTACAGTTGTCTCTGTGCTTAACTAATTAAACTCTATGCCATGAACGCATATGGGAGAGTGGAAGTATAGCTCCACTATTCTTGACTTCAGCACCAGATGGAGGCGAGTTATCAGCTTCATGCCTTGGCCGCTTTACCCCCAGGGAAAATACCCCTGGTACCCACTGGATAGGAGGTTGGGTGGGCCAAAGGGCCAGTCTGGATGCCATGGAGAAGTGAAAAATCTTGCCATGCTGGAAATTAAACATGGACCGTCCAGTCCGTAGCCCATTGCTATACCGACTGGGCTATCTCAACCAGCTCATGTAGAATCCTGAAATTATTTATGTTAGCCACATGTTCGAAAAATATCCTCAATTTTCTGATGTAATCTTTTTGTACAATGTAAAACAGGATGGTGGGTACATGAAAATGTTAATACAACTTTCACTTTGTCAGTGATAACTAATTTTGAGTTATGAATATGGAATGTTGAATAAAAATGAAGTATAAACATTCCTCCAAATTATGTATGAAATACTGCTTATAAGTCAACCATTATAAATGTGGTAATGGTGTAAAATTTTGAGGTTATATACAACAAATTTTACAGAATTGGCACTTCCCCCATAAGAAAATTAAAATGTGGTTGTGGTCGTGGTGGCAATGGAAGTCACAGCGGTGGTATTGGTAACATAATTATAGCTGTAAGAAATCAAAGTAAATCACTGACTTAAGCAAAATTTGTTCCTATGAATATCAGCTTGAAACTCAGCACCCTAACCCATGAATTAAACTGCACTTTACCTTAAAGACACAAGATTTGTAACACTTTAAGTCTGTACAGTACAGAACTGGACATTATAAGTCCTGCCTGCAATTTCTAGCAAGTCTTAAAGATCTAAAATAAATTATTCCCCCAGAACATAGAAAGTTACATTCCAAAGACATTCAGTTCCTTGCACATATGAGCAGTACATTCCTGAGTAAGTTAATACACACTAAATTATTAGCCTGCAGGGAGAGTGAAAGCGATAATATGACAAACAATAACTCAAACAGAGAGTTCTATTTTCTGTGATATAACAAGATGTGGTCCAGTGAAGCTCAACTGATCAGCATGAAAAAGGCTTACTGCCTGCTTCAATTTAGTGTCTTGCTTGTCTTATTATTCAACCCTGAACATGGAAAAAATATGTTCCTCCAAAATGCTCAACAGCTTGCCACAGGAGCCAATTTTGAACCATTTGAATCCAGTCCACAACCACACATATTTCTTTAAAATTATTTTAGCACTATTACATCGTCTACACTAGTTTTTCCTTCGCGGCATTTTCTTCCTATAGGTCTCCCCCCCCCCAAATTTTATGTCTTATTCTCCCATGTATGCTATGCATCTACACTTCCCACTAATGTGACCTCAATATATCAAAATGACAACACACGCTACACCTACTGTAAACACTGGCCAATGTTAAGGGTAAGCAGTGCAGCTGGGCTGCGCCATAGCTCAAGCGGTTAGTCACTGGCTTCCCACCATGGTGCCCCGGGTTCAATCCCAGGTCTGTTCAAGTGGGATTTGTGGAGTACTTCGGTTTCCCCTGCTAATCTTCATTCCACCAATTGCTCCACAATTACCCTCACCTATCATCTGGGGCTGGTACAATAGGCTAGAAGTGGTCGCAGTATGAGGGACTTAGTCCCACCTCACTAACAATAAAAAAACACAGTGCAGCCAACAGTGAATGTGCATACCTGATGATGGCCAAAAGGCTAAAACTTGTTGCAGATATTTATTATATTTAACGGCAGTGGGGATTTGTTGGGCTGACAACACAACACCCTCTATTCACTAAAGTTGGCACTAACTTCGCCAACAAGCGGCAGTCGCTCGGTTGCTATAGTCCGCTTATGGACTAAAACCATGGAGTTTGTTTTGTTTGTTTTTTGTATTTATACAGAAGTCTTGCTGACAGAAATAAATAAAATTAAAATACAGCACAATATGATGCTTTGATACAGTGTTTATTTACCCTCAAGCTATACTCTTCCCATAAAGTCACATGTTCTGTTACCAAAAAAACATACCCAAATGTTCAGGTACACGAGTTTCTTGACCAGTTGGATTCAGAGAGGCATCTAGCTGCACCAAGCGCCCATCCTTTCCACCACCAGTCACCAAATTCCCCTCCTTCATCACACACACTGAGAATACTGACCCTTCATGCAGTCCACGCAAAAACTTGCTAATTGTATTTGTTGCTGGAAAAGAAACACAAAACTCTTGTTTGGCATTAGTATAAAAATGCAGACTTTAAAACAATATTTCAATGTGGGACTGCTAACATCTTCAAGAACCCCTTCCAAATGAAACAGAAACAATGTTATGCAAGAAATTTCCAAAGTGATAATAACAGATTGACTTTTATATAGCAGTTCCTCTATTTCTTTGCAAATGTCAGTACCTGGTGACTATAAGTAGCTGACATGGTATGCTGCATGAATGACCAACAAAAATAATGTAAGACGACAAATTTTAAAAGACATAAATCTTTCTTCAAATTTCAAAGGATGTTAAATGTTCTATGGTCCCACAATGTTTTCAGCAAAAATGTCTTCCTATTTTGTTAATGGAGCACATCAACTCTTGCACCATGCTGGATTGAACAGTTCTGTTACGTGTTATGGACAGATCTGTTTCGACAAATACATAGAGAATCATAAAATCAATATTCTGCTTAAAAGGATCCACAAAATACAGACAGAATGTAAGAAATTAAGTTTTACCCATGAACTGAATTTTAAAGCAAAGTATTGTAGCGTGTGTGGCTACTGTGGACGCTGTTTAGATTGTCAGTTGGTTTTATTAACAACCTACAAGTCATAACAACAATTAATTATAACACTGTTGCAGGTTTACACAATTTAGAAAACCTACATGCTAATCTGTTCACTCTTATCTTCAGTAGCCTTCACTTATTTACAGTATTACATGGGAGCTATGCAAGTGTCACTGAATGACACACTCCCAATACCCAATGCCTTCTCGGTTATCACAAATCATCACTGATTATCACACATAAAATCTTCTAACCATGCATTCAGTTCTTCTTCCTCCCATGGCTGCTTCAACTGACTGACTTCTGTTCTGCCAAATACTCACTAATACTGGCTCCTTAGTTATGCCAGCTTCTCTTATAAACCCTTAGTTTGACAGGTGGAAAACGCAGCTTGCTTCAATGTTGCTCGGCCGCCATGTTTACAGAGGCATTGCTTCGCAACACTGCCAAGAGTTGTTTACTGGTGCGTAGCAACCAGTGCGGTTGGGCTCAGCTCAGCTTGGCTCGGCACAGCACGGAGAAACACCACGTTTCTTATTGTTGCATAACCTCATTCCACCGTTGCATAACTTGGCAACCAACAATTTATCAAGAGTCTGTCTTCATGGTAACTCGTTCCACATCCCGTTGCCCAACAATGGTTTGACATGTCACAATATAATTTCTTACATTTCTGTTTAACCTATTGTGGCACGTGGGCCTGTTGCTAGGCAATGCCTGTGAAATAAGTGACTATACAACAGCTGGTGCTAAGTAACGACTGCACAAACAAGAATGTTTCCACAGCAAAAACTGTACTGTAACAGAGAAGCAGTGTTTTCTCTGTGGTCCATGATGAGATGTTATAAGTAGGACAAGTTTGGAGATGGAGTTGGGGTTCAGTTGATGTGATCTGTTATTGCGAGAAGCTGGTAGCTGAGGCCGGGGACTGTTTGGAAACCCAGAAGAAGGGGGATGTCCACTATTGAAAGCTGCTACCAAGCAACAGCCAGTAAAGATTGTAACAAACTGAGAAGACCTAGTGTGTCCGATAGTGATCTGTGAAGTGAGTAGAACAGAGAGAGCATAATCCTTACTTGTATCTACGAGTGACAATAGTTACACATGACTATATTGTAAGGAAATTGTTTTGTATGCATTTTCTGTAGTTTTCAATCCTTTGTCGCTGTAACTCAAATAACTGAAGCTGTTCTAGTGGATTTAAATCTGGAGACTTTGACAGCCATTCTGTGGATCTCATACATTGAAATGAAGTGTTCACTTGATACCTTCTTAGTGCTTTTAATAAGACTGTATATATTCTTAACACTCAAAGTGGAAAATATTTTCTTTGTAACGAATCAACTAACCTGAATAAATCTTGTATGGGAAATCATGATTTTAGCACAGCAATGTCCTTACAGGAGCAATATTATAACAGATGAGTACCAATTTGTGCATCTGTGTCTATAAATAAGGATGCACATGTACAATACACATACACATACACACAAAGGGCATTCATGAATGCATGTGTGCACGCCCATACACACAAGTGGATATTCCTATTTAAAGTAATATCTTCATTACTGAAATATAATATACTACAGTTTTTAAAAAAAGTCACATGGCGTAAAGTGTTTCGTCATGGTCAAATCCGATTATTCATACTGAAGAAATCTTAGCACTCTTTATTTTTCTTTCTGAGCTATCAGCCACATCAAAGCAATTTTCATTCCTCAGGTTTTGGATTATCAGTCCTTTTTGTGTGGTCATCCATGATTACTCTTCTATCCAGCACTTAACCAGATGACATATTTCGTAATTTGTTTAGTCTGTTAGTTCATTCCAGATATTCAATTATTGCTACCTACAGTCTACATTTTTATAATGTCAGAACATGTTCAGAAATATTTTCTATCCATGTTGTATATTTCTATATCATTTAACACATATTAAGAATCACATTCCCTCCCTACATCTTTGTAACAAATAAAAAATTTCATGGTTTATGTCTACCATTCCTGGTTTATTTTTAGGATGTCCTGGATTTTAATCTCAGTCCCAAGGATGGCCAACATAACTGATATTTTGGTGGATTTCCCCAGCCACTCCAGGAAACAGACCCCCAACTACTTTCGTCCATATCCTTATCGCTTCATAATTTACAGTTGTTCTGCCAATGAGGCTACATGACCTATACAGGAAAGTACTCAAATAACCTAAGAATCAATCAAACTCTTACAACATACCTCTGCCCCAGACAATGATGTTGCCATTTGAGTCACCTGAGACCACATCACCAGTCTGTGTAAAAGCCAAGCATGTTACATACTTTGGCTTGTCTCTGTTCTCAAATATGCCCATACGTTTATATAAAGTTCCACCAGCATCCAAGGTCCAGAAGCTAATATGTGACTTTCCACAGGTCACAATGCTCTGGCGATCCATGGGATGAAACTCTGCTGCCACAACTGTGTCTGCAGAACACTGGAACCAACCATTTTAAGGTCATACTTAATCGTTTTTTAAATACACATAGATACAATTCATCAAAATGTTACAACATTCTCATTTTTAAATAAGTATTAAAACATAGTACAGTAAAACTTGGTTATAGCAACATCGGTTTCTGTGACACCTTGTCTATTGCGTCAAATATTCAATGGTACGAACTAATTCCTCATAAAGCAACTGTTTTTATACCTTGCTTAGTACGACATGCACAAATGCATCAACCTCGTATGTAACGTCATTTTCATTCCTGAATTTCTCTGATATCGTCATTGAAAGTAATTTAGAAAGTGTGTATTGGGCAAGTAACAGGAAACAGATGAAGATAACTGATTACTGTACTCGTATCTAGGTACAGTAAGGCACAACAATTGATGTAATCTACTGTAATTTGGTGAGTAGGCCTACCTTTAATATACAGTATTAGTGCGGTGTGTATTGTCAGTGAAAAGCGCTGTAATATGTCTTTGATATTACATATTTGGGCAATTCCACGTTAATGTTACGTTAGTCTGTACTTAACTACGTATTTCACTAAAAAATGCAACATTTTAACTCGGTTTTTGGTAGATTTTTACGTGACTAACATAAGGCTACTGTGGAAGTGCCCATTTCGGTTACGACATTCGTTTATAACAACACTATTTTTAGGTCCCTTTGATGATGTTATAACCAAGTTCTACTGTATTGTAATAAACGTTGAGAAATTACATATTCACATTTACAGTTTGTTCATAATTCATTTTTGGAGTGCTTATTATGCGTTCTCTGCACAAAATGCACATATAAGCAAAGGCCACTGAATTCATCTTTGCAACTACTAAATGCAGTTTGATTAAATTTGGTTCTGTAAGTTTACACTAAAATTGTCACAATTCAATTTTGGGTTACACTGGTCTAATATAACAACTAATTCACAGGAATATCAAATAAAATTTTATTAATGGTCTCAAAATGGTAAAGTATACAAAACGGTAGCATGCATGCAACTTTCAGATCATATTTTAGTCATGAATGTATATAAGATACATGTAAAGTACTGTGATTGTGAAAAAATTCAAGCTTAAGATTTTGATGGATTTACATGCTCTCAGCCCCTCTGATTGCAAAAAACTGGATTTGGAATATCATCTGTCTGTATGTATTTATGCATGTATACATGGCCTTTTTTTGTAACTGAATATTTGACAGACTTCATATGTATTCAATTTTTAACAACTTATCCATCATAGGTCACTGACTGGTGAATATGAATATGCCAGCTCCAAAAATATGGGCCCTTCAAATGTGTCCCAAAACATAAAATGGCGATTTTCTCATAGTCCTGAAAATGGAGGCAATGCGTTCCTCTGAAACATTGGTTCACACAAGATTTACATGATGCCACATCCCAGAAGATGGCATTCTTCATAGTCACGGCTGTGAAAACCTTAATTCTTACAAAAGTCATTTCTGACTGCACATTATACTAATTTTAAGGAAACAAATTTGCTGTTGCAACAAGCAAACAACGCTAATAATCTATGCAAAATAGCAGAAACATGTTTGGATAATACATAATCCATAGGAGTATCCTTTCTACTCTTGTACAAATTTGACCAATGGATATTTGTTCCAGGAATACTACAATCCTTTCAAAAGCCTCTTACACTTAACTGCACTCTACCTATCCAGTGTCAAACATCTTACATTACCAGTGAATTCTCCATAGGGAAATACTATGACACTGTACTCTGAAGAAACATGATTTACTCTTATTTATAACTGTCAGTGAAGAACTGAATGCTACAAAAATACAGTAAAATCATATTAGTGACCTTTTGGATATGAACAGTGCTGAATGCAGATCAGAATCTTTTACTTTATGATTTCTTTGCAAACAAAAGCTCAAAACACATAAAACTATATTTTTCTCTTCTCTTACATGAGTCTGAAATACGGTAGAGTGGTGTCTCACACTGGGAGACAAAATAGGATTGAGGATGTGTGAAAGAAAGTAATGAGGAGAATATTTCGATATAATAGAAATGAAGTAACATGGGACTTGGATAAAATAATACTGAGAAACATGAGCAAGTCAGGAATGTTGAGACAGTGAGGATACAGCAAGTATGGGAGAAACTATGCATAAGTACAAAAGTTTGATTGGAAGTCCTCATGGAAATAACACACAATCTAGACATAATCACAAACAGATATACAATATTAAACTGAATCTTAGAGAAACAGTGAATGAAGATTTGGAAAGGACTAAAGTGACTTAGGATAAAACTTGGTAGAAGTTTTCTGTGATGACTGAGGAACCATTGGCTTCCTTAATAATACCTCTTTATAATTTCAGTAAATATTCATTTTTCATGCAGCTGGTAACATAGTTTGTTACTGGGCAATATGTGAGTGCTAGGCTGTGTGGATGAGGGTGTGAGTCAGGACTTCATTGCAGTAACTTTGTACCTTAGTCTCTGTGATCTTCTGCCCACGTTCCCCTCGTTGCCAATCCCAAATGGAGATGTTATGATCTGGAGCTTCATCCACGGCACACAGTAACACTCCTCCATCCTAAGAGAGAGAGAGAAAGATAAACAAAGTATAATCTGTATAATCTGTAGAATCTGTACTTAAGTCAACAGTAAGTGTACTTACAGCTTTTGAGAAGGATAAGCAGCAAATGGAGCGTTCAAACTCGCCAATACCAATGACAGCTAATGTGTGAAGGCTCACTGAGTTCCATACTCGAACATGAGGCTGTAAGAATACACAAAAACTGATATAAAAAGCATTCTTTTCATCTGGGAATTCCTTCATTTATTTGTGGTTTGTTTAACAAAGTTGTCAGTAGCTCAGATTATATAGCATCAAATGGTAGGATGACAAGTGAACAATGAATTCAAAAGAATGTGAAAGAAAGTGATCATTACCTAAGCTGAGGTATTACTCCAACACTTGTCTGGAAGGACCGAGGAAACCATGAAAAAACCAAAAAACCTCATCTGGATAGCCACTGTCCCAGACAAGATTTGAAACAGCTACCTCCTCAATATAAGTCAGAAGTGTTAGAGCATGGACCAATTTGTTCAGTTCTATTAGACAACCTAAGTCACCTAAGAAAGCAGTCTTCTGGGATTTGGCACCATGTTTATGTGGTGTTAACCGACTTTTCGGAGGAACATATCGCCTCCATATTCAGGGTAGAAGGAAAGATATAAGAAATCCACAAGCGAAGAGACTGTGAGAACTGGTAAAAGCAGAATGGTGTTGGAAATATACACAGCTATGTGTGTATAGCTGTATAGATGTGTATATTTCCAACACCAGTCTGCTTTTACTGGTTCTCACAGTCTCTTCGCTTGCGGATTTCTTATATTTTTCCTTCTACCCTGAAGATGGAGGCGATACGTTCCTCTGAAACGTCGGTTAACACCACATATACACGGTGCCAAATCACAGAAGACTGCTTTCTTCATAGTCACTGCCGTGAAAACCTCACATCTTACAACCTAAGTCACTGTTTTATTCCTACACCAATTCTGAGACACATGAATAGTTCATTCCTTTCTTACAAGAATTCAACATTTTCATACAACTTACATTTGTAAGGGATACAGGATAGCTCAGTCAGTAAAGTGACCACTTCCAGTCTATCCAACTGGGATTTGATTCCCATCATAAGGGTATTTGTCTTTGACATTACATCTGAACAAGCTATGGGGTTCACCCAAGCTCCCATCTGCTGGGCAGAATGCAGAGCAGCATGGTCAGTGCAGTGACTACTTATGAGATGGATACCCAGGTTTCAAAATCCAGCAGGAGCAGGGATGTTTCCTTCAGCACACATTGAAATCAGCTCTGGAGTCTGCACTGTCTTACAGACACCAGGTATCAGGGCCCATTCCTTAGAGGGAAGGCAGCCAGAACATGCAGCTGACCATTTGGTGCTGAAGTTAATAATATCTGCAGGTTAATCTGAAACCCCCCCTTTCATGACATGAATGATGCTAGGGTACAGGGAAAACTTTACCTCCACTTTAAATGTTAAATTTACAACCAACATAAATCTCTCTGACATTTCAATGAGAAATCATTGTGGTTATCAACATCATACTTGATCACACTTTATTTAGTTCATGGTACCCAGTTCTTATATATTATACCTCTTGAGGGACAATTAGAAATCATGATTTCACTGAATGTGCACACTATGAGTGTGAAATGCTATGCAAAGAAGCTATAATTATATTAAGACTATGACATGCCATGCCATCTGTTATAAGACTGTGGACAGCATACACACAAGACTTCAAGTGGTGCCTCCATCAGGGTTCCAATGAACTTACTGCAGCTAATGCAGAGATCTCACATTAATTTTTACATATACAAAAAGGACACCAGGCTGGTCACATCTTGCACTTCTCTTTTGTGGTTTAAAACTAACCTCATCCCTGTATTAAAACCTGAATACAAAGTCCTAGGTTGATTGAAGGTACCTGCAGTTTATTTTAACATAATATCTTCATTGTGCATGACTAATGAGGGTAAGCAGTAAGGCCTAGATTTACATTCTGGAGACACCCATTTACCAGATATTCTGAGATTTCTGTAGTTTTTCTAGTTTTATCCTGGGAAATTCTAGAAGTGTACCTTAATATCAGTCATGATCACCTTACTTACCCACCATTCAACATAATGTAACCTCTACAGTTCAACTAGTGTAACACAAACTGGAATTCAAAATGGATAACATACATCTGGCAGATCAATTACTATCATATATAAAAAAAAACTGCATAGCAGTACCAGAAGTACCAGATGGATTAGATAGAAAATGTTTCAATAAGTCATTGTTTAGAAATTTTAACGAGTATGTATTTTTATAATGCAGGCTTAGAAATTATTTTGAGATTACATATTTATTCCTAATCAAGATTAACTTGTGGACATTCATTCAGACCAACATTTTATTTGTAATCTACTAATTTTTTTGAGTCAAATTATTTTCTTTACAGTTAAATGAAACTACTTCAATAGAACTTATGGATATATCCATTCTTTATCTTATTATATACATTATCAAAGTTTAAGATTTGATGTTTCCTTTCCTTAAAAGTTTGAAATCAAGTTTTGTTAATAAGAATAAAATTAAATAATCACCATAAGCATCCTTAGCTTGAGATGCAAGTAAAATAAAAGAAACACAGAATGAGATATTAGAGGTAAATGTGACACATGAAACATCACAGAAAATTAACTGAGCTGAGAATGCACATTGGAAAGGAGAGACCAGCAACCAATATACCAACCCACACATCACAAAACAAAGCTGAAAGAGAACATTATAAACATCAGCAGTCCAGTCCATCCTCTGTAATGTTGTAGGTGCTGATAACTATCTTACAACAGTTCTATACAAGGAATACAACACTGCCACTGTTTAAAGCTGAAACAGAACATTAGGAACTTCAGAAGTACAGCAGTCCATCCATTCAGCCAGCTGAAATACCAGTACTCAGTCCCATAATATTCTGTACAGGCATAAGCTCTAGATTTGTGTTCAGGAGGTACTCAGTTTGCATTTTGGCTGGATTCCCAACTACTTTGACTGAGGATTTCTATGTTCCCAGTCTCAGCAAATAAAAGATAGGATAGTATCTTCCAATATAACCATGACTGCCTCCTTCCCAATCCTTTTACCCACCATTCACAGCAACCATTCCATCTCATGTGACACTATAATCTCTACAGTTGAAATATCATTAAAGAACCTAAGATTAAGTAATTTCATAGGCAAATACTTAAATCACCTATAGCTCTGTGAACATTTTAATATTTATATGATTTATGGTCATTTAATTAGAATGCTAAATTTGTTTGCAAATAAAATTCAAATGTCTTTAAGCAATGCAGCAGAAACTAGTTTAAATTCATTCCACGCCTGAAGGGTAACATATTATTTCTTGGGAGAGAAACAATGGGGGGCACCATATCAGACCTCATTCTTTTGATGCACTCTTTCTAACCCCCGCTAACTCAATGCATACATGTACATGGTGGAATCTGTAGTAAAATATTCTTTATTTTATGATCAAAAAGAGCACATTACTTGCTGTCTTAAGAAACTCATTTCAAACTGTATTAATCTTCTGTTATCTCTAGTCCTTATGCTTATAGTCCATCCATCATTGACATACAATATTTTAGTGTCATGTAGCTCAAATGCTTATATTCCTTTGACCTACTGATGATCACTGAATTGAATCATCAATACTGTTAGCAATGTATGCTATAACTGTACTATAAATTAGCAACTTATTTAAACAAAAAGCAAATGAGATAGCACATATAGTGCATAGACAGTTTACTATGAACTGAAAATGGCGGGACAACCATGTTTCAAGATATGATGAAAGGTTCAGTTCTCATGATATAGTAATTTGAAATTTGCTATTCTAATCTCTCTTGCCTCTAAAAGATGAAGAGCTGAAATGGGTATTCCAATAGAGTACATTTTATAAATTAATTATTCACAGCTGTATGCATCATTGGTCTTAAGGCTAATTTACTGAAGATTAAAATTCATTAATGCATATACAAATTCACTGTGCCAAAACTGATCACACTACAGACACTGTGATGAACATAGCCAAGATGTTCTTTTTTCCCCCTTATTAATTACACATTCACCACGTAAAAAATTAGTTTGAAATAAGAGTTATAGTTCTTAATTAGAACTATATTTTACATGTATTTTTATATGATAAACCACTTCTGAGAAGACTGATAGTTCAATTTGAGTTTCAAATGAAGTAGGGGTTGAACTATACTGAAATTAAACTTGCTTGACCATTGAAGTACTGATGTGTCCAGCAAGATGAAAAAAGGGAATAAATGGATGGACGTAACCTACACAGAATAATTTTTCTTCATTAACTCCACACAAAGAATGCATAAAATTTCGGGTAATGTTTTCAACAGAATAATAATATGAACATTTGTTGAACCCACAAACCATCCTGCAGAGAAAACAATATCCCTCGAAATGACATAATTAGAAACAAGCAACAAGTCATTTTATATTTTAAACAAAGGGAGTTATTTATTTTCAAGCGATGAGTATAACATCTCACATTGATACAGCCATACAACCAATTTCAGTAACCATCAGACATCCCAAGTGTCGTGTGTGTGAAATGTTAGCCACATAGTAAAATGTTAAAGTGTAGACTTGAAGTAGAAACACTGTTAACGGTCTGACTTCAAGCACTAAATATTTCTTACAGAATGATATAGTATTACTTAAAGAAAATTTTTAATTTTATATCGCTAATAAAGCAAATATTTTTTATGGTTCTCTTAATAGTTGTTTATATAAAGTGCAGAGAATTCAGACCATTAATAGTTTTAATCAAGAACATTTCTTTCATATTTGTTCAATAAATATAATAAAATAATTATTTTATCAGTATTCCATCAAAATTTTCGTTTATTGTGACGTACTAGAATTCCATTTTTTAATGAAAATGTCATGAGTGCATCTGCCATTATTCTGTGAACAAGTTACTTAATAACAGTGACATTATACACAGCAACTTTAGGTGAACTTTTTATTCCTTGTTAGGCATTAATAATTTTAAAACATGTAAATAAAGTCATGTAAGTAAGATATTAATGTGTGAATTATACAACACAGTCAAGCACTGGCAATAGTTTAGTAAAAGAGAAAATGCATCTTCCGTATAATACAGTAATAGGAAAATGTGGTGAATTGCCCAAGGTCAGGTTTCAAGGATTAGAACAGTCCACATCAGCTAAGAAACACACATAACAGCACATCACTTCAGAACATACCCACTGCTCTGCCTCAGGTGCCATCCGATCTGGAGGCGGGTTGAATTTCCATGACTAGATCAAAAATAACAATCCAGGTAAGGCTTAAACTTACATGTATCAAGCATTTCTTTCAATAGCATAACTGCCTGTATCATATGGAGAAAAAAAAAAGAAAAAAAAAAAGCAATTTAACTGTAATTTACATGATGAGTAAAATTTATAGTTACTAACCCAACCCAATTCATCACACATTCATATAAAATGTAGGTAAGAAGACTATGACTTGTTGAGAATATGTATGAAGAGCTATGTTGATAATTATCATTTCATGCATCCTGTTGTGTTACAACATACAATCTCTTTATTAACGGTCACAACACAACAAATATCAAGGTATTTGCCTGATGATGGCTGTTGATAGCCGAAACATGTAGCAGAGCTGTAGCTGGGCATTGACCTTGATATTTGTTGTGTTGTTTGGTTAATAAAGAGGTTAGCTATGTTAATTTTAAACCTACCTCTCCTGTCTCTTACTTATACTGGCACCTGCTTTTGTTCCAAGGGATGGGCATTTACAAGTTAGTATAAGGATTCAGGAAATCAAAAATCTTTCTATCTTCCCTTTAAGCATTACCAAGCATGGGAGACATACAACAGGAGCAATGTTGTTACTTGGAGTTCTTTGTGTAGATAAGGAAAATCTTCCAGATAAAATGTGATTACCTTTAAAACTAGTGAAGACTAGTTCCATCTAATGTATGTCAGGTGATTTAATAAATAAGATTCAACAGTTATAATTTATATGGTCACAGAGAAAGATATCAGATATCTTTCAACTGTTTTCAGATATTATGAGTACCCAGTAGAACAAGCATTTTTATGATTACACTGTAATAGTACTATACTCAAGAGCTACTGACCCGTCCTTCTCTTCTGTCATGCCCAGCAGCTTGCCCTGTAGCTACAAGAAGTTTGTTGGGATGAACTGTAAGGCTGTAATACAGAAAAGCTCTATTTTACTTTTGTTCTAAACAAAATAATTTCTTACTGCTACACTTAAAGTGGTAAACTGCAAATGGAAACAACTGCTACTGAAGCCAATTTATGTGCAGGCTTGTGAAAGTTTAAATACCTTACCATAGTAATATATGCAGTAATTTGTTGCATCATGGCAATCAGAAAATAAGCTTACAGTTATCAACTGAATATTTAATATGAATAATACATCATTGTAAGAACTGTAAACAACTTTTCTAGACAATTCCCCTGAAGAGTATGTCCCTAACCAACCATAAATTTAATTCCTTATTCCCTATCCAAAGAAGTCACTGGTTGGTTTTCGCAACTGTCATTTCACTGCTGTTTCCAGATCATCATTAATTTTAAATCTATGGCCATTAAGATGCTAGAAGCAGAGGAAGAAATATCTGAGAAGTCAAAACTAATATGTATACAGCACTGAAATAAAAGGCAAAGCTATTCCTGCAACAGGCCATGGATGCTCATAGGGTTGTGAGACATTGAAGTTTCCACATCTTCTAGACAATCGGCTCACAGATGGAAGCGAGGTTGTCAGCCTTATGTGCCAGTCACCCTTTACCCTCCAGGAAGATTCCTGGTACTCATTTCTGTTACAGGTTGAGTGAACCCCAAGGCAACAGTGTGGCTGGAAGGATTAGTTCAATTGAAAAATCAAATGCCCTCAACAGGAGTTGAACCTGCAATCTTCAGCTTGTAGCATCGTGCCTCAATCAACTATGTTACCCCATGCCCCATACACCAATGAAATAAGGATTTAAAAGACAGGATGCTAACTTTTATGGACAGGGGATATAAAGCTCACCTGCACGCTATGATAAAGAGTCTCAATCTCTGGGGAGATGTGGGGACTAAAGAGATAAAACAGTTTACAGTTTTGACACTTCTTCATGTTATATTATTCATACTGAATACTGAACCACTAACTTCAAGATATATGCCTCATGAACTTAATTTCTGGCTGACTGTCAGAATTATATTGAGGCTTCACTCTAAAGCTTGAAATCATAATAAAGTAAGGCCCTTCAAACGGGTTCGATCCTGGGTCTGGTCAAGTGGGATCTGAGGTGGACAAAGTGGCGCTGAGGCAGATTTTCTCTGAGTACTTCGGTTTCCCCTGCCAATCTTCATTCCACCAATTGCTCCACAATCACCCTCATCTATCATCTGGGGCTAGTACACAGCCAGAAGTGGCCAGAGCACAAGGGACTTAGTCCCACCCCACTAGCAAAGGGTTTGATCATTCACTACACTTTCAGGTACAAAGTAAGTTTATATCACAGAAACTTACCACTTGACATCATCAGTGTGACCAAGATAGTGTCTCTGAGATTGCTCTTCTACATTATATAGGACAACTGCAGCTGCTACAAAATATACAATTTCACCTGTAGGCAGGAGATGTAAATTTGAACGGCAGTCACGACCTCGATAGCCATATCTGTACACTGTTAAGGTCATTATATTCATACAATTATGTACTTCACATATATACATACATACATACACACTCTCACGCATGCATGCATATGCACAAACACAGAAAAGTGTGTGCATGCACATGCATTAACGCACCAGTACATGAAATTGATAACCATCACAAGAAATCTACCAGCATTAGAAACATAGCAAGATAAGAATAGGCAATGAATGTCTTCAATTGTTGTATCTGTGTTAAATATGAATATTGAATGTATCAGACATTATATGAATACTATCAACTGATATGATTTCAATACAGTAAAAACTTCTGAAGTGACAAATAGAATAACAACCGACTTAGGTTATGAGATATTTACTAAATGTATGTATATATGCACATTTTTCTCTTCTCCAGTGTCCAGACTGGCTCTGGGACCCATGCAGTCTCATATTCAATGGGTACTGGGTGATCTTTCCCTTGGGGTAAAGCATCAGGGGAGTGAAACCGACTGCTCACCTCCCTCTAGTTCCCAGGTCAAAAATTGTGGAGCTATTCCTCCATTACCCCATACATTTTCATGGTATAGGGCTCAACCATTTAATTCATTAAGCACTGGGACAATTTTTCCTTATGTACGAGTATTTACACACAGAACACTTCTTTTTTAAGAGAACCTAACGATACTTACATGTGACAAAACATAAAGGATGGAGGCTCCTTAATTTTGTAAACAAAAATACTGTATGTATATCTGGAATTAATAACAATTATAAAATTGAATTAAAACAAAAATTTTATCTCTATTTCAAACTCCATTATTACCAAAATTTTAGTAACAGATTTTTCTTTTTTATGAAAACAAGTGCCAGACCGGTATACCATTATATACTGCTCATGCTCCTGTAAATGTCTACATTTATACTGTACAATGTAGCCCTGTTGCTAGGTAATGGCCTGTACAAACACAACAGAAGAACACGTCACGTCTGTGGTGATATCATGCAACAATAGAAGAGATGTTGCAAGTGGTGTTCTCTGTGGGTGTGCTTTGAGGCTATAGGACTCTACCAACTGAGTTGAGTTCAGTTATTGGAGTTAGTGTAGTGTAGTGTAGTGTAGTGTAGTGTAGTGTAGTGCAATGCAGTGCAGTGGAGCGAGTTCATTGATGAGTGAGTGAATTAATTAGAGGACTGCCGCAGTTCAGTTCTTGTGAGCTGTTGCTGCTAGTAGCTGGTAGCTGAGGCACAGGGATAGTTCAGGAACTCAGACTAAGGGGAACATCCGCCATTGGAAACTGTTACCAGACAATGACTGGTGAAGGTGCAGCAGACTGAGAACTATTAGTGCATGCTGAAGTGAACTGTAGGGTATGTGAATTAGCAATAGCACTATTGTTACTTATAGTTACAATCTTTAAGTGGTCAATAAACCCAATTACCAATTGAAACCCCGTCTATAGGCACTCATACACATGACAACATGAGGAGAATAGCAGGTATTATAAATAACACAATGCATTTCCAGTAGTATAGATTATGACAACCCTATAATTGTCAGAAATGGTCCCCAATTTTTCATATCTCTGCAATGTTTCATACAGAATCTTTAATTATTCATCTCGATCTCATCATTCTAATAATATCTGATGAGTACAAATTATGAAGGACCACAGTACTATACACTTTACGATAGCTGATCTACAAAGTGAACAAAAACATGTTCAACACAATATCGGTGGTCAGCAGGAAAAAAGGAGCCCAATTGGTAATGTTACCATGTCAATTGCATCAGGGATCTGTTCACACTGGAAATAATAACATGGTTTAATAACAGTTAGAAAATCAGCTATATTAATTGCCCATGACTACATAGCAATAGCTGCTTTCTGAGTATCATGATTTTCCTATCATTCATAATTTTCTACTTAAATTATTGCAGATAATAGAGCTGACACTATATCTGAAATTAATATTGACAAATGTTAAGTTCACCATATAGTTCAACTTTTTTGTTACAAAAATATTACATAAGAAGACTTAATATATAGTATTTTTTAGTTTAACAATGCTTTTTTAAATTGCTCTGAATATATGGGTGCTTGTCAATAATGTATAAGGCAGCAGTTGTGGCACATCATAAGTACAATGTCAACACTTGCCTTACAGGACTGAAGAAAATCGTTAAAAACTTTAACTGTGGCAGGTAGCATCCAGACAGTAATTAAAAAAAAAAAGATTTCCTGATTGCCAAGCAGTAGTGCTAACCACGCAGCTGTGATGTTCTACCATCCAAGTTGTTGCATATTGAAGCAATGTGTTTGTACACTGATGTCATTAAACATGTGAAGGATACACCCACTCAAGTTTCAGCCGAATCTGAGGTGCTGTAGCCACTTTCAACATGTCATAGGTCTCAGCAATGGCTGTGGGGGCATACAAGACAATAGGCCGCCCACGGAGAAAGAAACGCACTGAACCTTCCTCCTCATTGTATGTTGCATCTCGAGTCCTGAAATAAATTAAACATGTACAAATAATAAAAAAATATTATGTTACAAACAAACTTTGCTACAAATTGCAAGTCTAGGTTCAATATGCTAAAATCCAATTTCTCTTTTACTGACAAATGCAGTCTGATACTCAGTAAGAATGGAAAACTGAGCGGGCTGACATAGCAGTAATGCTACAAGTTCTATATTTTAGAGGCAGCTAATTTGAATTTCAGCCAGGTTAAAGGCTAACCTAAAAGGGGACTTCAGAGATTTTCCTCAGTCTCTTCAGTCACATATCAGGCTAGTACATTCAGTCAAGACACAGCTACCTCCTTACAAATCCATATGTACTCAACATTCATGACCGTCTTCCCACCTCATTCAATGTTCTGAAGTTCATTTGACTTGTCCTATATCATGTATAATGATCCATGGATATGAAGTAAATAAATAAATAAACAAACAAAGTATGAATGACCAACCAACCAGTAGTAGAACTTGACAGTTCAACACTACTAATAAACAGGCCAGACATGATTCTACACAAATTTAATTTTCCTTACATCCTCAAAATTTATTTCCGTTCCTGTTACTTCCTTCTCTTTACGACTTTTAAATGTTTCTTCTACCATAGTTTGTATATGTTGGCTGTTGGCCCTATTAATTCTATGCACAGCCCATCAGAACTGACTTAACTGAATAGCCTATCAGAACTGACTTAATTTCAACATCCTACAAACATCACGTTAAGTTGTACAGTTTCTCGCTTTGTAATACTGAAACTTGATATACCCCAACCAGTCATAGAAGACTGCTAATTGTTTAACCAGTTTAATTTCATATGACATTTGATATGAAAGAAAGGAAAATTGTTATACTAATGCCACACAAATGTAATTCCCTGGAGGAAAACTCTCCAGTTAGATGTTATCAAACCTGATCCAGAGTGTTATATCATATTTTAACTTTTCCATAGCAAGTAACAGTGTCATGTAATATACAGAGTGGGGCACAAAAAGATACAGTATTTGATCTATTAATAAACTCTTTATTTCCATACAATCATAGAAATTAACATATAAAAGGAAAGATCACTGTACAAAATTTATCCCCTGTGAATCAAATGTTCACTATGACCACAATTATGTCTGGCAACTTCTTTAACATGAACTGTGACATTGTTGATTATTTTACAGCACACATTCTCAGATATGTCGCTGCAGGTCTGAAGGATTAGTGCTCTCAATTCCATTATTGTTTGTGATTTTCTTGGAAAATCTTTTCCTTAAGGAATCCCCAAAGAAAGTGTTTAAATGAGGACTCTTCGGAGGCCAGTTCTGTCCACATGCGAAACGATCAGGAAATTGGTTTGAGACAACATGTGAGTCAAAAGTGTCATACAGAAAGTCCAAAACAACATTCACTGTGTGCAGCCTGGTTCCATCCTGCATGAATCACTGAGTTTGTAATGACAAACCTGTAGCAAGAAGGTGAGACACAAAAGTATTGTGCAATATGCTTAAATAGCACTCACTGTTCACTGTCTCTTCAAAGACAATTGGCCCTAGCAGTCAATGACTTGAGATGGTGAACCATACTGTAATTCTTGGTGCATGGTGCACCTTCTCATGAATCACATGTGGATTCTCTGATGCCCAAAATCGCACATTTTGTTTATTACCCTCACCAGCAAAGTGGAAGTGTGCCTCATCAGAAAACCAAACATTGTTGAACAGTACCTCATTATTCTGAGCCCATTCAGCAAATGCCATTCTTTGACATTTGATTTGAACTGCCAGTTTAGGCAACACACAGAGGATAAATCTCCATGTAATGGTCTTTCTTTCTGTATGTTAGTTTCTAGCAGTGCAATTGAAATAAATACTTTATTAATGGATCAAATACTGGATCATTTCATGTGCCCCCCTGTAGGATACTGTGTTTCAACTACCAAAATTTCAATCTGAAATAATAAACAAAGGTGCTTACAAAGTTAACTAATATTGGTAGTGCTGACAAGGTTCACAACAACAACAACAACAACAACAACAACAAACAGCTATAACAACTGGGTGCCTTATTCTTTATGTGCTGAACTTCGCTACCAGACGCCAAATACAGTGCCAACAAGAATATTAAAAAAAATTAACAAAAGGAGAAAACAAATAAACAAATCAGAAGAAGTTAAATCAGTGAAGGTCATTTACATTAATTAGCAGCAGCAGCAGCAGCAATGATGATGATGATGATGATGATGATGATGATGATGATGATGATGACGATGAAGCTGTAGTAGTTAGATTATATACAAATAACGAGATCTGTTCTGGTGTTAAATAAATCGTTGAAATAAAATTCATTGCAAAACAAATACCAGAAAAAGTAGAACATACACAGATTTAGCACCTGAAATAAGAACATAACAAAACTGCAGAAAGCAAAAATTCTGCCAGTGGTTCTTTAAAAAACAGACTAACACTAAACAACTCAGGAGACCCCTAAAGTACTTAGATGCCTATCACCGACAATGCCGCACCATAGCTCAAGCGGTTAATTGCTGGCTTCCCACCACAGCAGCCCAGGTTCGATCCCAAGTCTGGTCAAGTGGGATTTGTGGTGGACAGAGTGGCGTTGGGGTGGGTTTCCTCCAAGTACTTCGGTTTCCCCTGCCAATTTTCATTCCACCAAATTCTCCATCATCATAATCACCTGAGGGAAGGTTACAATAGGACAATCAGTGGCTGCCGTGTCAAGTGGACCAAGTTGGACTCCACCCCCCATTAAGCACATTTAATTTTTTACCTATCACGGACACTAGCTTCAAAAGAAATTACTTTATAAACAAGTCCCACAGAAAAATTATAAAAAATCCTGTGTGAGCCATTTTTTACATAAACCTTTAAATCATGTACTTTGGTTATAAAAATGAGAGACCCTCTATTCATAAATATCACTATAACACTATTGTTCTGCAGAATAACAATAATGGTAACGATGGGCAAAGGTATTAATAATTTTGGAACTTCGGGATCTGTTAGAACAGAGTTAGCTTATTCACTTTTATGAAGTTAAACTCTTGCAGAAAGATCCATTAACTTCCAGTATGCAGGACATTTTGGTCCAGTGCACAATTTCATGTATTGAAAGAGAACAACAAGAATCAATTAACTTTCTAGATATAACAATATATCGCAATGAAGATGGTTTGCAATTCACAATATATAGGAAACCCACACAAACAGACATCATAATACCTAACAGTTCGTGCCATCCATTCGAGCACAAATTGTCGGGTATTAATTACCTAATAAATAGACTCAACACATACCCAATAACGGAAAAAGGAAAACAAATAGAGAAGAACATTATTAAAAACATACTACATAACAAGGGATACGGCACAGACATAATCAAAAGATTAAATCAGACAACACGAAAACAAAAATCAAACACACATGACAATGAACAACAACACAAAACAAAGTGGGCTATATTTACATATAGTACAAAAGAAGTGAGAAAAATTACAAAACTTTTCAAAGACACACAGATAAAAGTAGCATTCCGCACAC